GAGATCCCTCTGATGCTTTGGAAGTTCTCTGCGGACCACGGCTTTTGCTGTAGGATGCAACTATGAAAATGTCAGGAATAGCCTACTGGAACAGCTGAACTTTATATGGGGTTAATCAGAGGCACTTTAATTGATGGCAGGTGTACTGACTCCTATTTAACATGAGTTTGAATGTCACTGCTTAATTCTGACAACAGTCACAGCCCCACATTAAGAGGGTGTGCACACTAATGCAACCACATTATTTTAGTTTTTTATTTTTACTTCCCACTGAAAAACAGATTTCAGTTTGTTTTCAATTGAGTTGTACAAGTTATAGGTCACATTAAAGGTGGCTAAAGTTCTGGAATTATTTATCTTGGTCTCGTTTTTTTACATCACAGAAACCTGGCATTTTAACAGGGGTGTGTAGACTTTTTATATCCACTGTAAGCAGTGGTGGAAAGTAAATAAGTACATTTACTCACGTACAGTTTTGAGGTGCTACTGCTTTCCTTGAGTATTTCCATTTTCTGCTACTTTATACTTCACTACATTTCAGAGGAACATTTTCAGCTTTTTAGTTTACTACATTTATTTGATATTTGTAGCCATTTGTTATTTTTCAGTTAAAAATTTACACACAAAACACACAATGAGTTTATAACATGTCACATTATAGATCAAAATACCAAAGTAATATAATTAAAACTAGTTCCACCTCAGCAGAGTACACCACAGAGTTACCTCATATTAATTCATCAATAATAATATATGATCACACCTGCCAGGCATAATTCATAATCAACCCAGTTCTTATGATGCATTAACTACATTTTTTTTGGTAAAACGTTTTGATTAAGTAAAATTCTGAATGCAGGACCTACTTGTACTGGAGTATTTTTATAGTGGCATCACTACTTTTACTTCACAAAATTCTTTTAAATGCTTCTTCCTCTGCAAAGCTCTGCATTATTTACACCAGCTTCTTCTACACTGCCATTTTTTTCATTTCACCAGGGTCAGTTTAACAATTATTAATAGTTATTACTTATTAGTTCAAGTTTATACATTTAACTATTTGTTTTCAGTTGGGTCACCTGCAGCTGTTTCTACTTGAAATAAAATGTGGAAGATACAATCTGCTCTTCAAGAGAGGATTCATCTTTTAAAAGCAAAACACTAAGTGACAGAAATTATGTACTGTATGTAGAGAGGCACTGTTTTACAAGACTGGATAAAAGCTTTTCTTGTGTTGGACTGAAGCCCATTTTGAGGCATGAAAATATAGAGTGTCACATCATTCTCTTTACATGAGTGTTTTGACTTGCTCAGGTGGAACATTTCAGCTATTAGTTCAGTGGAGTAATTACTGAGTGTAGTAGCTGTGCATGTTTGGTAGGTCAAAGAGTCTGTTGCAAAAAGTTCTACTCAATTTTATTTTCACTCCACATTAGAGATAGTACATTTGATACCTAAATGATGTGGAGAACAAAATTATCCTACGATCTTGACAGGCTGCTTTTGGTACCTAATATCAATATTATAAACCTTGTGGAACAGGTTTTAATATTGTAAAATGCTAAGGTAATCAGGGAGATAAATGAGCACTTGCTACAATTACTGCCCAATCTGCTACTCAGCTAACAATGTACCGTTACAAATAGTCTTTTATGTTGTTACATTTTCCACTTACTTGTTGTACGTGGCTTTAATGTGAGCGATCGGCAACTCTTCAAACTTCTTCCCACCCCATCGCAGTGAGCTGTCCTCGCCAGGCAGTGGAGGAATATGGCTAAAGGATTACGAATAAAAATCTCACCAACATTTTTATACTGTAGTGAATAGTGCTTCTATTAACGAGTAAACGACACACAAGTTTAAGGTACATATCAGAAATAGATTGTTTTCGTTAGCATGAGAGAAACCTAAACAAGTACATTTGCTCTGACCTGAAGTCTTTGGAAGTGCGGGCAGGCTCTGCGGTGGATGCTGCGTTCGGCTCAAATCTAACATCACTGCTACATAACGCTCGCTGCAGTCCACTGCTTACACGTCTATTCTCACACACACACACACACACACACACACACACACACACACACACACACACACACAGTGTATCGTTTAACCAGAACCACTACTTGTCTAACCCTGACCCTAACCTTAACCCTAACCTCATCCTAACCCTAAACCATGTTGCCACCCTAAAATTCAATTTCTTGCCCATGGGGACCTCAATTTAGGTCCCCACCGTGAAATGGGTCCTCATGAGTTGGTATGGAGTCAGGAAGAAGTCCCCACGTAGCAGGAAAAACACGTCCACACACACAAAACAAAAACCACTGTGGCGTTCCTCTCAAATGAAAACTAGCATCTGCTATGATTATCACCACCCCTGTCGGTTGGACGTTATAAAAAATTAAGCGCATACAATATAACACTCAGCATAGAGAAGACTGAATTCTACTATCAAAATTAACATGAAGCTAACAAAGATGCTAGTAAACCATACCCATAAAACACTTACAGAGGGCTTCCATTTGAATTTGGAGAAGCAGCACACTGTAGGAATATGTTACTCACAGAACTAACTAATTTACAATTTGATTTGTACATGTTTGATAGATTAACAAGCAATTTTTTGTCAGAAATTTAGCTATTATTCAAACAACAAAAGTGACATTGAAGGTGCTGCAGATCCAAACCAGACCACTACTAACTAGTAGTCATTTTTGAGGGATAACAGGCTAATTATAATATTATTATTTCTATTACAAAGATAGGCATAGCTTGGAACCTTGGCTAAAAAGACACATTTTAATATTTAAATATTAAAATTGTATTTTTCTTGCGCCTATAATGATCTATTTTCACTTTTACACAAGTATATTCATACCATCGTCCCCATTTTCATGCGAATAGACCGTTCTTCTTTCCGCACAGAGTTGTGGGTAAAAGTGGTAAAAAGCCGCATTCAAGGAATTTGTGCACCGTCGTAAACATGCAATTTGAAGCACTCATAAATAAATTCTTTTAAAACTGTCTCGCACCTAAAGGAATGAAGAGAGAACTTAGTACATTGGGTAACAATAACTGCGATTGTGTCCTGCTATCATAAAGGGTAATATTTCCAATTCCAATCAGCAATTGCCAGCACCGAGGGTTTTTTTTTTGCCATTTTCCTTGAATGTAGCAGAAGAAGATGGCTGCGCCCTGTAGAAGGATGGCGAGTTGGTCTCTGCCAAGATTTTTGTCTTGTTTTGGAGGGACTGCGGTAGGAAGCACTGGATTTCGCCAGTTTTCCAGAACCGCAGTTTGTCGGGTGACTTTGCAGACCAAAAGTATGACGGATAAACCGAGTTCTCCGTGGACTTTGATGGCAGCGGTTTGCCTACAGAGACTACCGGTCATTTCCGCCGACCTCAGCCCAATAGAGCAGCAATTCGGACATGTGATGCACCAGGTGCGCTTGCTTAGGATGAGAGCGATGTTAACGCTCAAGTAGAGAACAACAAAGCGGTTTATTAGCTCTAACGTGCCACAGTCGATAATTTAGAGGGAAAAATGCCTACTCACTGCTGAGTATTTGCACTCCACGGCTCCCACGTAGCATATATTCTCTCCGCATTATATTGTATTCTTGTTGTATTTTTATTTGCTTCCTTCATTTGCTGCTTTAAAATGCCTTAGATCTGTGATTTTACTGCCTGTTTAGATTTGTGTTATCGCTCATCTACCTTATACTTCACGTGTATTATGTGGCATTCATGTGGACGGCATAATAAGAATTTTATTGTACATTGAAACACGTGTCCTAACTGTGCATATGACAAATAAACACTTTGACCTACAACTATCAATATGTAAATCCATCTTATTTGGGGATAATCAGTTGCGTCCACACCTAACATACAACATGCGACCATTACAGACATGTGCGCATATGTGTATTTTACGGTTTAAGGCTGGAAAACTGACCGGGTAAAGGCAGCTGCCAGGAGCCCTAGACCACAGGGCCATCAAAAGCCCAAGTTTACTCCATATAATTTCTGTGTACATAATGTAATTAGTTATTACTTTTTCAGTATAAGTATATCTGCTAAGTATTTTTTTTAATAAATGTCAGATGTATTGTATAAAATGTCAGAAAATAGTGAAACTGACCATTTTGCCCTGAACCCTACATGTAAAATAGGTTTACACCATTTACAGGTCACCAGTCTGTCACAGGGCTGATCAGAAGCCATTTAAATCAGCATACAGTATAGTGAAACTAATCATAGTGCTATTAGCCAATTCAAAATCTGACCTGTTTAGGTGTCAGTATGGCAGCTGGACTCCATTTTTGGGCTATTACATTTGTGAAACTGCAGTCTAGAGAACAATGTTAAACCGGGTAAAGGCTGGACAGTAATGTCAGTATATTGTTAACTCCGTTCTTTTATTTGAATTATATCCTGGAAAATAATATAGAGTTGTAATACTTTTGTTGATTATATTAATAGTAAAAAGAAAATCATAGATGAATTAGAAATGTATTTGAAAGACTGTTCACAATTTAATTCTTTATAGTAACATGAATTTGTGTATTTGTTTTTAATTGGCTTTTTACACAAAGGGTCAAATAATATTGGATTATTCTGTTAGTTTTGCCCATATTGCGCTGTCTGTTATTTTACATATTGTGACATCATATTGCGTAGTAAAACCTTTAGCTAGGTTAAGGGGTCATTGTCAGTCACAACATAGTCTCCACCACAATAATCAGACACCACCCAACAACAATTTCCAGTGTAAAAAATGGTCTGGAGTTTTTGATGGAGACCCACCCTGATTTGATTTCAGATGGAGTTGGAGAAAAGTGTCCTGTCGGACCACGAGCTGCAGCTGCTGGAGGACGCAGAGAGAATGAGTCGGAAGCAGGCAGGAGACTACGACTCTGATGAGGAGGGCAAGGATGAGGAGATCATGTTGGCTCAGGACCTGGAAGACTCTTGGGAGCAGAAACTGAAGAGCTTCCAGCCTGCACATAGGGTCAGAGGTAGGAATGTCTGTTGTTAAACAGACCCTGAGGCTAAATTATTCAATAATAAGCTAAGACGTTACTGGTTCTGCTATGAGTACTGGAGAAACAACTGTACATAACAACCTGAGGGACAGTGAATGGCCTAGACATGCACAGCACACACATACATATACACGCACACACACACATATATACAGTGTGATATAATGTACATAGTACATTATAGCACATGTTGTTTCTCAAACAAGTAAACCAAGATATACACATTATAAAAATAAATTAAATTACAACAAATGTCTGAAGAAATAGATGGAATTGTATGGGATATAGTTTTCAGCCTTATGTCTTCTTATCAAAAACAACAAAATAAAATTATGAGATATGAATTTTTGTCTCCTTATCAAAAACAACAGAAAAGAAAATTAGGTCATCTGAAGTAAATAACCAGTGGGTTGTGTATGTTCAGTGCAGGATTCTGTTTTGTTGACCTTCAGAAATGATCTTTTCACTGCATTTACATTTGCATTTTACAATTTGCTCAACAGTCACAGAAAGAGAAGCTGTAGTGAAGCGGCTGACTGTTCTTTGTCTCATTAAGCTGATGTAGATCAGGATGTGACCTCAGTGCAGCGCTGCCTGGCAGATTCTCTGGTTCTTCTGGCTGAGCAGCAGGTTGGCAGCCAGAAGCTGTGGCTGCTGCCTCAGACTCAGTGGCAGGAGGGAGAGACGCTGCAGCAGACGGCCGAGAGAGCACTCACTACACTGCAAGGTAATGTGCATATGAGTTTTTAAAGGCTGAAATTAGTAATATTTAAATGAAGCTGCTGAACTAATTTTCCTATTCTTTGATGACAAATAAAGCAGTAAAAATATATTTAACTTGCACCTTTTTATACCATTAGACTGACTTGAGCTCTTGTTTAAAAAACAGGCCTGTTGTCTTACCTGTTGGTTTTGTACCATCTGACTTGTACAAGCTTCACAACTAAACCAATCTTCAACTCTTCAACATTTTTAGACAGTATGAACAGCACGAACATTGATCTGAATAATGGGCACGTCTTTTTACTTATCAGAGCAGAATCTCTTGTTTATATGAAACATGAGCCATCTCTTGAAGTTCTTTTCCAACAGCTGGTTCTGTTTGGCACTGAAAATGTTCTAAATGTAGTTTACTACTCCCCAACGCGGTCTATACTTCTATAGCTAGAATGTATTTCAGTTAACTCCTAAATCATTGGTTAATAAAGGATGTAAGGTGCTATCCATAGCAGCTGTTACACATTGGGTTTTTGTCAACACACCATTTGCTGATTTCTTACTGTATCTCCATCCTAATCTCTTTTGCTGTAATGGCCCAGTTTTATTCTAAGGATCATTAAAGTTTGATGTGATTTCATCTACTGTAAAATTATCTGTGTAGTACACAAAGTATGTACTTCTGTATTATCCACAACAAGACACCCTTAAACAGGTCCAAAATTAACTTTTTGACTCACTAGATGAAAAAACCACTGGCCGAAATAATACATGTCCTTTTTGTGTTATTTGCTTCAGGATTTCATTGACATAATTAGATAAATATGTTGAATAGAAATGTAAAGAAGCAAAATTTGAAACAGTTATTTTAATAGGCTATATGAATCAGCAGTTAAATTCATTTTTGAATAAAAATTTAAAACCTACAGTACAACTAAAGAAGTCTAGATTGCAAAATTCAGGGACAAACAAAAGTGAATTTGAAGTTTTGTAAACTTATTTGAACCAGCTTAATGCACCTCCTGAGACTCCTCACACCCTACCGCTAACACCTGCTACTTTGCACAGACCATGAAGTCTAGTCTCATGCCTGTATCAGAGAGGTGCATCCATGCACATGCACACACTTATGTTTGGCGGGGACCTGTCACTACTCTGCCTCTTAATGGCTGTGGTTATGGTCAGATTTCTGGTTGGACCAACTTGGACAATGAGTGTCACACTGTGTCTACACCAAATGCGCTTCAGTCCTGTTTTTAGAACACGTGTGTAGCTGATACGCTCCTATTTTCATTAATTCAGCTGACTACACTCATGTATCACTCGCATTACGCATGTAACCATGACCTAAGTGTATTTTTATGCTAGGATCAGAAAGCTAGTCAGAGGCAGAGGAAGGCCGGGTTTTCACAGAATACGTGTGTGTGTGTCAAACTCTGACACAGACAGAAGCATGACTCACACTGTAGGGACTATTGACACTGTTTTATTGCATGACAGTTGTGCTACAGTTATGGCAGCTCTTCTTCTGAGATTTACTCACCAAATGGAAAATCTACCCACATTTGTTGTCTGGTAGGTGTTAATTTGGACCATGCCCTCAAACCTCCTATACCTACAACTCCTTTACAAAGGCAGCTTTTTAGAACAGTATTCCAGTAGTTGTTTCCAAGCTGCCAGCTACACTTTTATACCTCCACTGTCTTAACTACAGTTGATTGACAGGCCACATAATGAGGTACTGATAGGTAGGAAGTTAAAGGTCCAAGGCCACAGCTGGCAAAAGACAGACAAAAATATCCAGTCACCTTTAACAATCTCTCACACAAGCTATTCAGTGTGAGCTGAAAATTGTTCATATTTTTTCCTGTTATGGTGAAATGAAACATTTAAGGTACCAGTGCCTTTGTTAAACAGTTTCACATCATTGCTTTTAACTTCTCATTAAGACTTTCCACGTGACATTAACATGTGGCCTTTGCTCAGGGGTTTTGTTTAGAGCATCCTGCAGTAGCAGGACCCAGTCCACTTAATTACGGTTGGACTCTCTGAGAATTGACTCTCTAACATGGCCGTGTTGATGCCTGCAAATTGAGCCATCTGGGACCATGGGAGTTAGACTGCATAAGATTAGATTAAAATTAAATTTGGAAAGTGTCTGTTATTGCCACAGCAGAGAATGACAAACAGACTTTTTCTCATGTAACACTTAATTACAGCAATCAAACAGATAATCTAGAGAATTACAATAAAATGCAGCTGCAGCATCACATGATCTGTACAGCTGCTTAAAGTTTAAGTTGCAGCATTGTTTGTCTCCAGCTGTATTATTAACTTGCAGCCTTTTCTCTTCTGGTAGCGGCTGGTTTCAAAGCAACTTTCCTTGGCAACACCCCCTGCGGAGTTTACAAATACAAACTACCCAAAGCTATCCGGACGGAGGGCTCTGTGGGAACAAAGGTGTTCTTTTTCAAAGCCATTCTGTCGGACTGTGGTCCCCCTGCAACCCCAGACACTCCTTTTTTGTGGCTGAAGAAAAGCGAACTGCAGCACTACCTAAAACCAGCGTACTTGATGAAGGTAGACCACTTCATCCTTGACTTCTGAGGCCTAAAGTCACACCAGGGGTGCTGACTTGCTTAACAGTATTTGAGGCTTTGTCACTTATCTAATAGAAAGTTCTTTCAGTCAATATAATATGTATGTTTCATTGTATAAATAAACTCTTTTCCACACATATTTTGTGCATCATGGGTGTTAGCTTGGTGAAACCCTTTGATCTGGCTTGTATCTTATATGACCAAGTAACAGCTACATCAGTATGTATAAAACATCTAAGAAGTGGTTGTAAAAATGGTCCAAAACTTTGGCATGAGTCAAGAATATCTGCTCTCCCTCAAGTGCTGAATCAGCCACTAGCAGGCCTTCAGACATGATGTGTCTTCACTGTATCATTGTGGTCATCACAGCTTCATGCATACCTGTCATGATTAAGATTATCCATCATGCAATGTATTTAATGCCTCCATATTATACATACTGTTTATATTGTATAGTGAAATATGCCAGAGGAAAGCTAATGTAAAACATTCCCCTACTGTTGACAATATGCTGTTTGGGATATTTGTAAAAAAAAAACTAACTACTAAGTAGTTTCAAGAAAGACAGTTGCTGTTTTAACTCTTAACTGCAGAGCAGAGAAGGAGTTTTAACTCTCAGAAATGTTTGAGTACTGCATATTCTTAGTTGAAAGAATAAGAGCAAAAGCAGTTGCTGTCCTTGATTATAATGATTAACAGCTTAGAGTAATGGGTGACTTGCTTTAAGTGTTTTGTTTTTAGAACTGCAGCAGGTAATGAGTACACATCAAGCACTGAAAGCTAAGCACTGAATGGTGCAGCCATTTTGAGTGCACACTTGATACTGAACTGTGTGGGCCTGGCAGGCCTGCTGGAGGTGGATTTTTGAGCCTCGGCACCAGGCAGGTTCTCCCTGTCTAACGCTAGATGGCAGTATTGGCACACCAGCCACGGAGGGAAAGCTCTGTAATTATGCCTGTGTGTGTGCATGTGACCTCAGAGGGGGATTGCAGAGAACGCTTTTCTGATCAGCTTGACTTTCTTTTACTCATACTGAAATATCCATCATAGCAGGCTAATGTTCTTTTGGAATAGCTATGATAATTTGTCCAAGGTAAGAGCATTCTGATGTTCCTGACCCACTCTGCCTGTGATCAGTCCGTTCTTTCTATTTGTGTTTGCTGGGACAAGGAGTTATTAATGTTGTAGGCACTGGTATTAAATTTTTCTATCTTTATTTTCAGTGTTTGTCGAAAGCCCTCAGCCCGAGCTGATGAGAAGTTGGCTGAGTGCAGTGCAGCCCCACTCTTTCAGTTGAGATGTGAAGTTTGAAGGTCAGGGCAAGCTGATAAAGGCTGTTTCTAACTGCTGGACAGCTTGGCTTGCACATAGAACGAGAGCTTGCAGTTGTGATGACTGACAGTGCTGCCTTCAGTTAATTTCTGGTACATGACGTCGAATCAAGGTGTAATCACAGGTACAAAAAGAGCAACAGTTACTTTCATTTCCAAGGGGAACCTGGTGAAGGGATCTTCACCCAGTTTGTAGTGAAAAGGTCTTAGAGAAATTGACTTGGGATCAGAAGGTTGCCAGTGTGAATCCTGAAACCATCAGAAAGATGCAAGTGACCACACAGACTCCCTAGAAAACCAGTGTCAAGGTGCCCTTGAGCAAGGCACTAAACCACCGCCTGCTCTTGTGGAACTGCTCAGTGGATAACAGGTCTAAATGCAGGATAAAGGTTAACCGCCACTCTGCCATGTTTACATGTCAGAGTCATTAAGGGTGCTAATCAACCTCTTTAGTGGTTCTAAGGAGCTTTGCCAAAATAACCCTGCAGGATGTCACCATGGGCAGAGTGTACCTAAGAGATGGTACCAAGTTGCATTATGGGAAATGAAGGAAGAAAAGTCGGGATGTCTTGGTTTCTTCTGCTTTGATTTTGACCATTTTTTTGTCAAGTATTCTCTTGTGAGTCTCGGTGTAATACTAAATCGCTGGAATACTTTATCCAAACCTATTAACATATTCTCTTACTGCTAGTTAAAAGGGTACTCCAGCAATATAATATTGCACTTTCATAAAGTTGTGAGGCTGTGAGAGACACATTAAGAAAGAATGATCAAAAATAAAGTAGCAAAGACAGTTTTTTGGTTTATAAATGGAATATGTTTCACTAGATCCTCCATTTCTCCAGTGGCGGACCGTGCATTTGGTACCTGGGCCTTCGTGGGGATTTACCCGACTTAATTCAGCTCTTAGTACCACCACTGTCACGTCGCAATTATAGAAACCCACACAAAAATGCAATATATAAAAACGCGTGGCATTGCAGAGAGAAAGGCATTTTGCATATTGAGGGTGACTGTTGTGTGTCTCAGGAATTACTTTATGACTTATACAGGTGAACATAACATTTTATTAACACAGTTGGTGTTCTATATAGTACAACACGTTGCATGCACCCAGACCTACTGCTCGTCAGCTCCTGGTAGGTGGATCCCAAGAGGAAGGGTCTGCTCTTAAAGAGCCCGATACATTTAAAGTATAACCATTAGAATACGCAAACCACAGTGTATTTATGAACAGATCATTTATCATAATGATCTACATCCCCTCTTCTGAAACCTCCGATCAAAAGAAACAGATTTAACAATCAACAGATTTCCTGCATGAAATTTGGTCAACAACTGAGGGTATGAATGACTTCCATATAACAATGTAACCATCGCAGTAAATGTCTGAACCATTGCAAACACAAATCTCAAGATGACCTCGGCATGTATTAAAAAAGCAACAAAGAATGGCACTGGCAATATAGAAAAAAGCCATAATAAACACATTCGGCATGTATTTAAAACAAGGATCAATGTGCCAACAAATCAGCCATTAGTAGGACTCGCTGTACATATCTTGGATTAGGCTTGCAAATACGACCTGAATGTGTTATATAAGGTGTGCTGCCAATCTTGGTAGGGGACTGTACTGTGTGCTTTGGCAAGTCCGTTGGTGTGGATTCTGGTTGTGGGAGATGTATTTGTGGTGAGTGTGGTGCTGGGGGAACACAATCCTGTGCTTGTGTAATGGTATTTTGAGAGTCAATGTCCTCAGGGGTGAGCCATAATGGAGGGTGCTCTGCAACAGGAAGGATGTGATGTCAGTTCCTTCTGTATGTTCTCCCATTGCATTGGATCGTGTAGGACCGAGGCTCCTTGTTCACCTCCTTTGCTGTGCCAAGCTGGTCATATCCTTTCGGGGTCTGCATTCTGACAACTTGTTCTTCTGTCAGTGGTTGCAGTGGACTACTCGAGGCATCGTAGTGTCGCTTTTGGGTCATCCTCTTATGGAGGAGCCGTGCAGCGACTTGCTGGGCATGTATAGGAGCTGGTTCTAACAGTCTGGAGTTGACGGGAATGGTTGATTGTGTCTGTTGTGACAATAGACGTTGTGCAGGGGAACCTAATATTGGGTCACGAGGAATGTTTCTCAGATTTAGGAGACTAAGGAATACATCTGTCCCATCTCTGTGAGATTTCTCCATCAACTGTTTTGCACTCTGGACCGCTCTTTCTGCTAGGCCATTGGATTGTGGGAACTCTGGACTACTGGTGACATGGATAAAATCCCACTGTTTGGCAAAGTTGCTGAATTGTTGACTCGTGTACTGTCTGGCATTGTCGGAAATGAGTGTGTGCGGTGTGCCATGTCATGTAAGATGTCATGTCGTGGAGAAGGTCGATCTCATACCAACCCGAGTATGAGTCCACGAGCACCAAGTAGTTCTTGCCCCGCCACTCAAACATATCTGTTGCCACTGTAGACCAAGGCAAGTCTGGAACTGGGTATGGTTTTAATGGGTCTTTCTGTTGGTGTGGCTTTGTGCTATTACAGACGGAGCATGTTAGGAGTTCCGCTGTGATATCAGCTGTCATCGTTGGCCAGAAGATTATACCCCTTGCTCGGTGCTTGGTAGCGTCCAGACCAGGGTGGCCTCTGTGGACAATGCTGATGTATTCTCTTTGCAACGAGTGGGGAATGACTGTTTTGTGGCCTTTCACTACTATCCCATTTTCCATGGCTATCCCATTTTCCATGGCTAGTTCATCTCTGTAAGGAAAGTATGGACGCACAGCAGGGCACAAGCTATGTTCCTTATTTGGCCAGCCTCGTTGAATCACAACGCTGAGAGCCTATAACACCACGTCCTCTGCTGTGTGCTTTCTGAGTTCCTCCAGTCGCGCAGTGGAGATGTAACTGACAGACATGACTTCAAATGTGTCATTTTCAGCATCTGGAGGGACTTCTGTGTTTGGAGCTCTAGATAGGGTGTCCGCTAGGTACATGTGCTTACCCTTCTTGTATGTCAGAGTGATGTCATAACACTGTAACCTGAGCATCATTCTCTGTAATCATGCAGGGGCTGTGTGAATGGGTTTCTTTAGAATGGTCACCAGGGGCTGGTGGTCTGTTTCGATGATTGTAGGTTTCCCGTACACATAATCCTTGAATTTGGTACAAGCAAATATGGCAGGAGGGAGGTCCCTTTTTATTTT